CGGCCCCCGGCCACTCGCACCGCGCTGCTCCGCGGATGCCGGGGGTGGCCGCAGGTTTGGTGTAAAACCAGCGATGCCCTTCCTCTTGGTCTCGTAGCAGACGCTGTTTATCGTGCTATGCTGCTGCTGCCCTGACCTCGCCCCGCGGTTTCCCCGCCGTCCGACACTCTCAGCCCTATTCTTTGACATCTGGTGGGCGCCCGCAGAATAGAAATAATCCTGTTGTGTTTCTCTCTCCCTCTCTCTTTCCTCTTCACGACCACACCAAAAGGGCTCGAATGCCAGAGACCGAAGCGCCAGAACTCGAGCGACGACATTGAGGTCCTCTCCACCGGGACGCCTCTCCAACAAGAGAGCCCCGAGCTGTACCGCAAAGGGACCACCCCGTCCGACCTGACTCCCGACGACAGCCCGCTGCAGAGCTTCCCTGCCAGTCCCTCCTCCACGCCGCCCCTGGGTCCTTCCTGCAGGAACAAGAGCGCTCACTTCTCCAGGCAGGTCTCGGTGGATGAAGAGAGGGGTGGGGAGATCCAGATGTTGCTGGAGGGACGTGGCGGGGATTACTTGCGCCCCAACAGCTGGAGCGAAGAGAAGGTCGGCGGGACCCGCGGCGTGAGAAGCGGGACGCTGCGCAGCGGTCAGCTGGGGTCAGCCTCCGTCCCTGAAGACTACAGAGGTCGGAGTGGGGGGCACAAACACTCGGCCTCCAACCACAAGCAAAGAGAGAGGTGGACAGATTCCCCAGCCACGGTTTCATGGACTTCCCACCACAGGTCCCACAACCACAGCTCAGGGAGCTCCAAACTGCTTGAGCTGGACGAGGAGAAGATGAGCAATTATGAGATGGAGATGAAGCCCCTCATGAGGATGGATTCTTATATGCAAGAGATTCACACCCAAAAAAGACACTATAGCAAAGGGGGACCCTGCAGGAGCATGGCTGACGACCACCGCGGTGAAGAGCGGGGCTTCGGGGTTCAGAGACTGAGGTCTAAGTCCCAGAACAAAGAGAATTTCAGGCCAGCTTCCTCTGCAGAGCCCACGGTGCAGAAACTGGAAAACCTGAGATTCGGGGACAAAGCTGAACCTCGGCTACTAAGGTGGGACTTAACCTTCTCCCCGCCACAGAAATCCTTACCTGTTGCACTAGAATCTGAAGAGGACAATGGGGATGCGCTCAAATCCAGTACGGTAAGTAGGCAAAATTGTGTGTCCAAATCTGGCCGCGAAACCCGGTGCAGAGCCGTTGAGGTTCCGCAGCGGAGCGGAAAGGGGGGGTTGCCCTGCTGGCAAAGCTGACCCCCCCGAATTACCGTGGGTTTGTGCCTTGAATCCCCTCCCTTCTCCCATCCTGCCTAATAGCGTGTGCTGGAAGTCGACGTGGCGTTTTCTCCGCAGACTTCTTGGTGGGAACGGCGGGTTTTTCACTGGAGGACGTGAGCAGCAAGTTTGAGTTTGGTTTGCATCCCAGCCCCGGGGCCAGCAATAAAAACCCATTATTGCTGGGATTTTGAGCATTAAAAAAAAGTGCCCGGTGGAAAAGCTGCAGGAGTAGGCAAGGTGTTGGTGATGCTTCCTTGTGGTTAGGTTTTGGCAACAGAACTTCACATTGGCCCAAGAGCGTGGCGGGACCCTGTTGCAACACCAGGCCTTAAGTCCTGGTTGTTGGGCATCGCATCAACCTGCACAGCTCTCCGTTGCTCTGCCGCTATGGGATGGTGCTGCCCGTTGTCAGGTGGCCTTGTCACCGCATCGTACTGACACCCGACCCCGGTGGAGGAGGGAACTGTGGTCACGGAGCCGGGGATGTTGCAGAGGGGTTGCAGGGGATGTTGCGGAGGGGTCACAGGGGACGTTGCAAAGGGGTTGGAGGGGACGTTGCAAAGGGAACGTTGCAAAGGGGACGTTGTAAAGGAGTTGGAGGGGACATTGCAAAGGGGTTGCAGGGGACGTTGCAAAGGGGACGTTGCAAAGGGGTTGCAGGTGATGTTGCAGAGGGGTTGCAGGAGACATTGCAAAGGGGTTGCAGGGGACGTTGCAAAGGGGTTGCAGGGGACGTTGCAAAGGGGTTGCATGCCCAAGCTGCCCATTGCTCAGGTTTTCCCGGACTGGGCTGCACAGTTCGATACTGCTCATGTTTTTTGGCATGCGGATGCCACTGAGCCAGGAAGGGGTACAAGCCCCTTGGCAGGGGGATGCGATGCAATAGGGTCTTGGCAAACTGCACTCAGGAGGATGCAATTCAGGAGGGCTACCTAGGCAGGGGAAGCAGCGGGCAAGCACAGCAAGGGTAGTGGGCTATTAGAGCTCTGCAAACCGGGGTGGTAGAGCAGATTACAGCCAAATATCGGTCCATACTGTCACTCTACTGTGAAGAGCACAAGTATGCTTTCGAAGCAGGAGCACAGCTTGTGGGACTCAGGGGATAACCCCACATCCAGTCCTGGGCTCCTTGTTTTGGGAGGGATGAGGAGATGTTGGGCATGAACAACTGGCTGCTGGGAAGAGCTGGAGGTGTTCAGGCTAGAGAAGAGGAGACAGAGCGCTCTTCGAGCACATAAAACAGCTGCTGTAAAGTGGAAGGGAATAATCTCTTCTCAATGAACAGAATTAATGGGCTTAAATCCAAGCATTAGAGGCAGTGGTTAGCCATTAGCCAGTCCTGGTGAGTTGAGAGCTGGAATGAATTGCCGAAGGAAGGAAGGTGGCTGGGAGGGAGGGGGTGGTCTAAGACCTGGCTGGACCTCTGCAGCTCAGCTATAGCTTGGGAAGAGCTGAACCCACCTTGGGAGAAGGCTGAGCTGTGTGATTTACAGGTCCTTCCCAGCCCTGGTTGTTGACCATTCCTGGACGTGCCATTGCGAGCAGCTTCCGCACTTATTCTCCCCGTTGGTTTGCCATGGCTGGGAGAGGTGATGGGGAGGTCCGATGGGGGCAGCGGGGAAGCCAGCACCGCTCCAAAATCCCTCTTGTCCAGTCAGTGCCAAACACTGGCGCTGGGGCCAAAACTGGGGCAGGGCTGGAGGGGTCTCGCGCTGCTGGATGTCCCACAGCCCAGGCCAGACCTGTGCAGAAGAGACGGAAAAGCTGTAACGCTCTGGCGGCGACGTTTCAGGCTCTGGCAGAAGAATGGAGCTAAATCACCCTGCCGGGGTAGCAGAAGATGCTGCTTGGTTGTTTGGGAGGCACGGGTCACGAAACCGAGATGCCACAAGTTTGGGCTAGAGGCATCGTGGTCTGTAATAGCCAATTAGTGCTGCCATACCCACAGCATCCCAGCTCCTCTGGCCGCCTGCCGCCAGCTCTGCCAGCAGAGCAAAGGTGTTGGCAACCTGCAGGCGAGGGATGAGAGCGAACGGGTGGGAGAGAGGAGGGAGCGGCGGCATCTGCAGCCCGGGATGCACGGGAAGGACGGAACTCCAGATCTGCCACAGTTTCCCTGCTGGGGCTGTGGATAAATCACACACACACACACACACCCCGCACACACAGCCCCATCGCTTTCTGGCTTCCTATTCATCTTGCAAGCTGCGGCGCAGGCTCGAAAGCACCCACGCAGCGAGTTTGCCAGTGGACTGCACCGCAGGACACGTCTTGCCAGTCCAAAAAAAAAAAAAGGGAGCTCCAGGTGAAGCCAGCCCTGAGTGCACACGGGCGAGCAAAACAGGACCAGGTTGTCCTTACCTGTGAGCGCAGGCACCTGTGAGGCACTGGAGAAATGACAGGCAGCGTTAGGAGCCTGGCAGGCTTTCAGAGGGGAAAAACAGCAGCAGTAATCGCCCGGACATAGAATCATAGAATCATGGAATGTTTTGGGCTGGAAGGGACCCCCAGAGGTCACCCAGCCCAACCCCCCGGCAGGAGCAGGGACACCTTGAACCACATCAGGTTGCTCACAGCCCCGGCCA